TTTCTTCTCGCGCCCCTCCCGCGCAGTTCCACTCGCCCTCGCCCTTGTCTTCGTCCTCCCTCCTCTCCCCTCCTTAGCCAGAGAAGGAGGACTGGAGGCTCGGAGGATTGACGGCGGGAGGCTAGAGAGAGCACGTTTTTCACGGGCGCCGGGGCCACAGACCCGGCACCCGCTCCTCCTGGAGCCACCGCCCTGTGGAAGTCGATCAACGGAGAGGAGGCATGCTGCCAAGTGACTTCCAGATGTCCAAGACATGTTTCAAGCATGTGACATGCTTGAAACATGTCTCATGCTTGTATGCGTTTTTAAACACGCCAGTTTCATGTAGTTTCATATTTTGCACGATGGTGTCAAGTAGTTTCATGTAGTTTTATATTGTACTTGTTTTGGAAGGGACACTGGACTCATGTATGTGGTCACTCCGAGCCCCTTAAAGCATGTCGCGAACATGTAGAAACATGTGTGAGGCATTTTTAGAACACAGTCTACGCATTCCGAGCGCGTGTTTAGTTCCATGACAGGACTGTCAGGATGTCCATGGTCATGGCATCCACAACCACAGCCCTTCATCCTCACCCCCCTTGAACCCCCCTCCGTCCTGAACACTGATCGGTCTCCCCTCTCCGTCCCCTGGCGAGAATCCCCCCTCCGCTCGTGGCTTACCCTCCGACGGTGGGGTGGGGGGCGGGCTCGAACTTCTCGAAAGGCCGAAGACCGACGACAAACGACGACGGCGATGGTGGGACTTTAATTTGACGGGTCTGGCGGGTCGGGCGATCCGGCGGGTGGGACATTGAAGAGGCTGGCTCGGTCAGACGGAACTTCCAATGAAAACTGCGCTCGTTTGCGGGGCGAGGCTGGTTGAGAAAGCAGAACAGAAACAACACAAGGAAGGCGACGACTGCACGACGAAGACGGGAGGGACATTACCGCTGGCTGGCGCGCATGACAAATGGAAACCTCGCGCAATGATGCGACAACCTTGAGGGAAAATAAACCGGAAGCGAAACAGATGACAATTGCAACGATGAGACAAGAAAGCAGGCGGTTTGTTCTATGCACAGAATATAAATCGCACTCGGTGGTGGGACACGGTTTGCCGACGTCGTCAGTGTCAGCGTCGTGTTCGTCGTCGTCTTCGTCGACGCGTTCGTCGTCCTCGCGGTTGTCATGTTTGTCGTCGTGCTCGTATGTATGTATGCCTGCCTATCCGCTTGCTTGTCTGTCCGTCTGTCTGTATGTATGTACGCGTTTGCATAAATGTATGTATGTGTTTATGCAAGTCTGTATGTACGTATGTGTATATGCATGTGCGTAGTGTATGGGTGACTTTATGCATGTCTGCATGCTTGTATGCATGTATGCATGCATGCAGGCATTTATGTATGTATGTACGTATGTATGTATGTAAGGACGCGTGTGCGTATACCTGTATGAACGTAGGTACGTAATTGTGCATGGATGTACGCACGTACGTACATACTTATTTGCGTACATACGCATGCATTTATGTATGAACGTGAGTACGTATGCATACATGCATGCCTGGATGCGCGCGTGTATGCATGACATGAATGTATGCATGTATTCGTGCATGTATGTATGTGTGTATGCATGTATGTGTGTATGTATGCATGTACGTACGTATGCATGCATGTATGTATGTATGTATGTATGTATGCATGTATGTATGTGCGTATGTGTGTATGAATATGTGTCCGTATGTATGTATGTATGTATGTATGTATGTATGTATGTATCTATCTATCTATCTATGTATGTATGTATGTATGTATGTATGTAGGTAGGTCCGTAGATAGGTAGGTATGTAGGTAGGTAGGTAGGTAGGTATGTAGGTAGGTGTGTATGTATGTATATATGTATGACTCTATGTGTGCATGCGATTGTACAGTGCGTATGTATGTGTGTGTATGCATGTATATAGTTGAGTCTGTCTGTATATCTGTCTGTATGGATTTGTGTATACATGCATGCATGCAGTCCTGGTTTCGTGTACGCATATATGTGCATGTGTGTTATGTAGATGTTTATATGTATGCACATGCTTAGGCTAAATATATATAGAGAGATAGGGATAGAGAGAGAGAGAGAGCGAGAGAGAGAGAGAGAGAGCAAGATAGGGAGGGAGGGAGGGAGGGAGGGACGGACGGAGAGAGACGTTCGCGAGGGACAGAGGCGGTGGGAGCGAGGGGTACTGGCGGTCTGATCCGGGCCACGGGTGCGGACCGCTCGCCGCCCTCGCCTTGCAGCGCGCCGCCTCTTCGGGCCCCTTCCGCCCCGCCCCCTCCACCCTTGCCATCGCTCGGACGTGTGCACTTTTCCTCCCGCGAGGACCATCGAGGAGCATCCTCGACCATTTGGCGAAACCACCACGCACGGAATCGTGAAACAAAACAAAGGGAATGGACGTCCGTGCGATGGCCAGCGCCCCCCGCCGAGGCAGTCGGCGGTGTCCCCGCTGGCGCGGCGGGCGCCCCACGCGCCGGCCTCGGCGGCCATCGCCTGCTCCGTGTTCGGGGGTGGACAGACCTCCTACTCCAGATTTCGTAATAAAGGGAGGGGGGTCTCATTTCGGGGGGGGGTCTCTTCCAGGCTATCTTGGAGGGCCTGGGGGGTCTGGGGACGCTGTTTTGGCGGGTTCTCCCACGGGGGAGGTCTGAAATGGCTTGTCTTGGAGGGTCCAGACCCCTCTCCCTTTTATTACGAAATCTGGAGTACCCTGACACGTCGATTAGTGAATTGTCCGTTTTCGGTTCTCGAGAGGGCGCCGCGGCCGTCATTTTCCAGGCTTGCGCCCGCCAGGTTTGGGCCCGAGGTCGGTTTCACTAAGCCACGTTTTGCGAAAGGGAGGTCCGTCCATCCCCGACGTGTCTCCTCTTGGGATGTAGCTCTTGGGAGGTCTACTGCTGCACTGGCGCCCGGCAGGTCCTCGATCGAGGCTCGGCCCAACCCTCTGCACGAACGAGATGGGCACGGAAAGAATGGGTACAATGCCCAACAGCAGTTCCTGTTCATTTTGAGCAGGACTCGCTGTCCGCGCCGCCGCGGCCTGTGTCCATTTGAGATAGAAGCCCGCCTGCCCAACAGCGGCCGCTGTTGGTTTGGGACAACATTTGTTGTTGGGCATTGTGCCCATTCTTTCCGTGCCCATTTCGGGTGTCCAAAAACCCGCCACGATCGCGCCGAATTCCGTCGGTTCCCGCCCAGTCTGTATTTTTCTGGCTCGATCTCGGGCTTCGTCTGGGCCAATCTGGCTCATTGGCGCCTTGATCGGATGGAATAGCCCTGGATCGAGTTTACCAGAAGACATTCCAGAAATTGCAACCAAGCCTTACAACTCCCTCTCCTGGCTCATCTCCCACCCCCTACTGACTCATTGACGCCGCCATCCTCATCCGCTCTTTGGCTTTTCTCGTGCTCCTTCGTTTTGCCATGCGTGCGGGCGAGCGTGCCGACGATGTGAACAGCAAGAGGAAGGAGGGCCCAGCCGCCAACCAGGAGCGCCTCCCTCGAGCGCATCTTGCACTTGGCGAATGCCGACGCCGACCTGTTAGTGCTCGGCTGTGCACTGACCGCTGCCGAGGCCAGAGTGGCATCCGGCCGCGTGTTCGCAACTTTCTGGTCAGCCTTGCAGGGAGTGTTCATGTCCGCCAGTTGTGCGCCAGCAACAGCAGCAGTAGCAGTAAGCTACGGCACGGTCGGGCGGAGGCGATGTCAATGGCCCGAGTCGGGAGTAGCAAGCGGGGGACTCACTGATGGGCGCGACGGCCAAACAGTGCACACAACCGACGACGCCCTCCGCCCCGGTTTAGGAGATCTGCACGCTCAGCAGGCGGTGCAGCGGGCTCGCCCGAACTTTCACGAAGCTTTTGGCGCGGCTTTGCGATGGCAAACTTCATCGGTTGACCCTGGCCTCACAGGTTGATGCTTGGTCCATTGCCACATGTCCAGAGGTGGCTTGTGCCATGCGCGCCGAGGAACTACGGGCACGTCTTCGTCTTCGTAGGCTTCCGTGTCGAAGCCGAAGGGGCTGTCATTTTTGTGTTTATTGGATGGACGGCCTCGGGCTCGAGCGACAAGAACAACGGAAACGAGTGGATGGACGTCTACACTCGACTCGATTCGGGGGGGTCGCGATGGCGATGCCTTCGTGGCCAGAATTCCATATGGCGTGCAATCAACGTTGCGACTCGTATACGAGTGGGAAGGCAGTGGAGCGTGACATGGTGGCACGCGTCGCCTTTGCGCTGAGGATGTTCAGACAGACGAGCGTTGAGGGAGGAGTGCAACCGACAGCCGACGGCGAGACGCAAAAGAAGCACACCCTGGCAGAGTTGGCCTGCTCCCGCGGTGGTGCCGTGTGGTCCTCCGCACCTGCGCGAGCGAGCGCCAGAGCGGCGCGTTGAAGGTCGCCGCAGGTGCCGCGGGATCGGGCACCGAGACCCAGTGGGCCCGAGGAACGGCGAGACAACAGTCTGTCAGAGGAGGAACGTGTACCCATACTTCTACCCTTTGGCAGTTTTCTTCTTTTTGGGCCTCCTGGGAGGCCCTCGTCGCCGCCGCTGGATTCGCCTCGAACTCCTGGTCAGAACGCACCCCGGGAGAGGTCCGGGAGGTAGCGGTATCGGTACCTTTTTGGTTTCCCCTGTCTGGAGCCGAGGAGCCTTTTTTGGGGCTCTGGCGGTCAGCGTCTGCCTTCCCACGTCATCCACGCGGCAGCTGGGGGTACTGGTTGCATCAATACGTGCAGGAAGGAGCGGCTGGTTCGGCTTCCACAGCTTACCAGCCCAGAACCTATCCCTATCCCTAAATTGGGTATCGCCTCATCACGACGGCGATCTTAGGGATTCCCTCAGTTTCTGAGGGTGCATCCCAAATATTGTTATCGCCTTTGGGCGGGTCGATCTCAGGGATAGGGATGAAGTTCGAGGCTGGTTAGCAGGGAGGAGCGGCTGGTGCGGCTTCCACGGCCCAGGGCACGGTGTGGGCACGTCTCGGTGCCCCTCTCCTGCCGCATGGTGGTTCGGCTGCTCGGCAGGCGCAGCGCCATGGCTGGTGGAGTCGGTCGCACGGTGCGAGAGGGGGCGCTCCTCTTTTCTCTGTTCGTCTCCTCGTCCTCGTCCTCGTCGTCCTCCTGCTCCTCCCCTCCTTTCCCCCCCCCCCTCGCCATGTGTCACTGCGCCCCAGAATCCGAGGCTTGCTTCAGTTCCTCCCCAGCCCTCGTGGAGGGGACAGGGTGAGTGAGGGGAGGGGTTGCGGGGGGGGGAGGACGGGGCGAGGGAAGGACATGGTGCCAACGGGATGGGGAAGAGGAACGATGCGGGAACCGATTGGGGGAAGGGGTGGGGAGATGGCGGAGCGGGGGTGGAGATGGGCGCTTCCGATGCCCTCCCTCCCGCCGTCCTGCGCTATCACCACCACCATCACTGTCACCACTCATGTTCATCATCGGCACTACTAGCAATACCGTAGTAATCATACTAATCATCATCATCATCACCATCATCACCATCGTCATCGTCATCATCATCATTATCGTAAATATCATCAACATCGCCATCATCATCATCGCCGCCATCACCATCGCCATCACCATCACCACCACCACCACCACCACCACCACCACATCATCATCATCATCATCATCATCGAGGTCACCATCACCCCCACCATCGTCACCATCACCGCAGTTATCACCATCATCATCAGCATCATCATCATCAGCATCATCATCACCGTCACCACCATCATCATCATCATCATCATCATCATCATCATCATCATCATCATCATCATCATCATCATCATCATCATCATCATCATCATCGCCACCATTATCATGATCATCATCATCATCATCATCATCATCGTCGTCATTCTCCCCATCATCATCACCATCATCATTATCCGTAACGCTTGTGGCCCAACGCCAATGAGGCATCCCAACACCGCGAGCCCCCCGGGCGTGGCGAGCAGCAGGATCGCTCGGGCGCCCGGAGTCCAAACGATTCCATGCCTCATGAGCGTTCCGTGCATCCGGCTGCTCAGCGGGTGCGTTTTCCTCACATGGGTACGTGGGCCGCGGCACCGCCTGATCCCGAGGCTTTGCCTTCTCCTGGCCTTGCCGTGAGGCCGCTCTCCTTCTGTCCCTCCCTCTTTGTTAATTCAAGCTTCGCGCAGCCCGCTTAGCTTCGAGCGGAAAAGGTGCGCTCTCGACCCGCGAATCACAAAAGTGTACGTGGGCCGCCATGGCGCCTGGCGGATAAGGACAAGGCTACGGATTTGGAGTCACATGTTTCGGTTGGGAACGGCAGCCGTTGACCAAGAGCAGTTGGAGCAGCTGGCTCCCAGCATGAGGCCAAGGAGGAGCCTGGCGCCAAGTTCGCACTCGAACTGGAAAGCAACATGCGCCAGCGGCTGGCCGTCAACATGCTCGAGCTGGAGGCTACCAAACTCGCCCTAGAAGAGGCCAGAAATGATCTCGGCCTGCAGGTGGAGGCTCTCCGCATGAGGAACGAGGAGCTGTCCACCGCGCGCGAGCAGCTGGCAGAGGCCGAGCGCAAGCTGTTGCTCGCCGAGAAGATGGCCGAAGTGGAGAAGAAGCAGGCCGATGCGTCGGCGAAGCAGTCCGAGGGGAGGTCCGAGGTGGTGCGCTGCCTCGTCAACTACTGCTCCACCATGCGCAACGCCCTCTTGGAATGAACCACTGTTAGGCGGCACGATGGAGAAGTTCCCATTGTTTAAGGTTCGTCCCCTCCAGACCTCGCCCCGCCCCCCCTCCAAAGTGGTATTGTTCGTTATCGGTTTGCTTTTGCGCTCCTCTTGTTTTGGCATAGTGCACGTCGCGTCGCACAGAACAAAATCGCACTTCTGCTTGGCAAAATCTACAGTATCGAGGACACCGCGTAAGACATGATGAGCATGGACAACACGTAGGACAAAACGTAGGACAACACAGTATTGATAATAACACGAATGATATGGACAACACGTATCTAGAACAACACGTAGGACAACACATGATCGATAACAACCCCTTTGGAGCAAAGCCAGAGCTCGACGGGGGCGGGTTCCATGGGGCGAAGCCAGAGTTCGACGGGGGCTGACCCGCACCTCATTGTCGAATCTCTCAATAACCATTTGTGCTCAAGCTATGTTTGGGATCGACCACATCGTCGTGGCTGGAAGCGCCCCAGAGCCCTTTCCCGCGCAGCAGACCAGGGCGCGGGGCCCGCGAGAAGCCAAGACTAGCGGACATTTCTTGGCATGGCTTTTTTTTCTCGCGGCCTTGGCGATGACGAGGCTGGCGCCGACCCCGCGGAGAACGAGGGCATCCGTGCGCGCGGCATGGCGTCCATGAGGTGGGAGCTTGCGGACTTCACCGAAGAGGGCGCGAGTGTGGCTCGGGCGCTGGGTAGTTTCCCCAGAGGTGCGTGCACGGAGAGGTGTGTTGGGTTTCTGTGTTATTGTGTCGTGCAG